GCCTTGATATATGTATATAAACTGAAACAGCTGGACTAGTGCATCATAAATTTAACATAGATTAATTATTTTAATACAATAAAGTCATTTCTGCATATTTTTGGGGAGGTCACCTCCTAATAAATGTCCTTACAGAAAATCTAACTGCTCATTTTAAATCAATACTTTTAATTTTAATACTTAAGTACAAAAAATATCAGATACTTTAAGACTTTTACTCAAGTAATATTCCTAAAGTAGACTTTAACTTTTACCAAAGAAATTTTTTGGTAAGATACTTGTACTTTTACTCAAGTATCACTTTGTGGTACTTTAAACAACTCTGCATAGCTGCCCGCTGCTCCATTCGGGTGCATCTCATCTGTGATGACAAATATTGTCACAATGATGACTAAACACGCATCACATAGACTTCAAATGTCAATTTTTAGACTTCATGTAACTGTCTCTTTTCTTCTGACAAGAAAGAATGAGGTGAATATTAAAACCTAGAGACTGTTTTTCTTTCACAGAGAGAAGGTTTTTGTTAATAAAATAACAACCTAAAGCAATGGAAAATGGACCTGATGGCATCATCACAAACCAACACTACAGGTTTCTGACAGATGCTATGTTCAATTTTTTTGTTTATTACACATGAATTAATCAGCATTGATACACTTTAAGGAAATTAAATGAAAATGTGATTTAAACAAGTAGTTTTAGTGAAACATTTATTTTTATCATGCGTCTTGCAGAAATTCCACCTCGTGTTGTTAAGACTTAAAGATGCTTTTTCAGTTTCATCTTTTATACAAAAATAGCTAAGTGTATTTTGGAAAAAAATGTCAAAAATTCTTTTAAGAACACATCTATTATCATTGCTGACAGAACAAATTGGATGAAAATAAAAGTATTTTTTGCATAAATTTATCCCTTTAAAAGGTTAGGAGCAATCTGCAGCAACAAAAATATATTTTCCCATTTCATTTACTGTATTTTCTAATTCTAACATTTGGATTATAAATGCAAATCAGCTTTAGTTCTACATATTTCAGTTTGCCTGTATTCAGAACTAAAAACTAATTTTGAAAATGTTACTAAAACAGGAAATCAAACACATAAACATAATTTAAAAATCAGAATCGTAAACGGCCAGCAGGAAATAACGTGTTCTTATTTTAGAAGCAATAATTCTGAAGGACTTCCTGAAGCTCACCTTGAGTCTAATTTTATCCTTTAAAAGCAGGAAAACAAAGCTTCCCACTCCCGTGTGTTTTCATGTGTTCAGGGCCGACACTTGTTCTGTCTGTGCAGTGTTTGTCAGACGTGCACCTGCCTCAGTGCACACGCTGGCCAAGGTCGCACTCTGGCTGGGTTTGTTGAGGCTGGACGCCGGCGCTCCTCAGCCCACTATCTTTTGTTTAGTCTGTCCCAGAAGCTGTTCCTGCCAAGTCATCGAAACTGCTCCAGACTCGCTCTTTACGGAAACGCTGGCTCCATTGTTGATTTTAAAAAAAAAAAGGAAGCAAACCACAGAGTCTTCACAACAACTCTGCTGCTTCGTTTTCACATGAGCTGCTTTCTCCTTTGTTTGCTCAGGTACACTCTGGATGAGTTTGGGACCGCACGCAGATGTGCTGTGGTCCGAGGCTTCATCGACGCCCTGACCCGCGGCGGGCCAGGAGGTACTCCACGGCCCATAGAGATGCATTCACATGACCCTTTGAGGTACATTTCAAGTCTTGTTTAAACATTCCCCCTGGAAGACACGTTTTTAAAAAAGCCCACAAAGGGTGGATTCTGGGAAGTAAGCCTTCAGACAGAGAGTTTTTTCACAGAACAGCGTAATTATAGATCAAACTGTTAAATTTCTATATATAACTAAACCAGTTTGATGTCGAAGCCTGACCAATATGTTAATTCGTATTAAAAATAAACTTTAGAGACTAAAAACAAATGATTGCACAAACTGAACTGATGTATTTTGCATGTTGATTTGGCTTGTGTTTTAAATAACATCCCAATGTTTAACATATATAACTAGAGAAATTACATTTACTGTGAAAATGCTTCTCGCTGAAAAGCTGCTGAAATCAAGCTGAAGATATTTAATGGCAAAACGGTTAATGCTGGTTCAGTTTGAAAGGCCGAAAGAAGCACAAAAAAGTCAGAAATTAACAGAAGAATAGCAGATAGGAAAATAATTATAGCTGAATAACAGCTGACAAAGAAGAAAAAAGCTCAAATTAGCACTAAATAATGCTAAAGCTAGCAAACACGAGCTGAATTAACACCCAGATGGTAAAAGTGGTGTAAAAAATGTAAATTTGGCAGAAAAAGGGCAATAAAAAGTACAAAAATGTGACAGTTTCTTGTAAAATAGCTAAAACAGCCAACATGTGTAGTAAAACAGCCAACATGTGTATTAAAACAGCTAAAATACAGCTGTAATTTCTTAATTTAGCGTAACAAAGCACAGCTGAAACAAGTCACCAAAATGTGAAATTAGCTTCAAAAAGCTAACTTTAGCTAGTAAGCGCTAAACATTCGCAAAAATTGCAGCAAACAAATGGGTCAAATTAGCAGAAAGAAGCACAGAAAAGCAGAAGGAAACAGAATTATGGCTGAAATAGCAGAAAAAAGCTAAAACTATCAAAAAAGAAGCTAAAATTAACACAAGGAGGTTAAAAAGAGCAGAACCTTAACAAAAGTTTTAAGGTGCTGCAAAGATTTAGAAACATTTTAAGGATGTTGAAAACATCTCCATTAATTTTTAATGGGGAAAAAATACAAAATAGCTGAAAAAGTATAAATAGCTGAATTATCAAAAGTCATAGCCAGAATGTCCTGAAGGAGCTGAACGTTTTGATATAGTATAAATTGTCAAAATAGAATTGCGGAACGAAATACGCGCCAAAAAATGTACGAAAACAAGAAAATCTCAACAGTGTGAGTGCTTGTGAAACGTTCACATAAATGTTGTTGTTTTTTCACCATTAGAAGGAACAAAGTTCATTCAAAAAGACTTGTTTTAAATTAACAAACAACTGGAACCACCTGTAAGAAGGATAATCATATACAGTTGCATCTTTTCATTATTCATTATCATTATTATTTATCAGAATTTAAGTTTTATCTACAAACTTAACGTCGTCATGTAATGTCAGACTGACATGGTGATAAAATCTTGTCTAACTGTACAACATAAAGTCAAAACACACTGAGACCTTGAAATAAAATCATTGGGTTTGACTCAGATAGTCCTGGAATTAAATACACTTATCGACAAATACAACTGTGGTTTTAATTTGTGTGTCGAATGTGTTTACTATAGTTGATGTGATTACTGAGTCAGTCTGAGCGTTTAAGGTTACAACGTGCCTGAGTCTGCTTATGTTTCCAGTCCTTATCCTCTTCTTTCTGTGCCCAGAAGCCAAAACAGGTGTTTTCTTGTTTTCTTAGAATACCAGCTCTGTGTAGAACATAAAATCACTTCTACTTTATAGTTCTGAGAACATCAAGTTCTTTCTCACCTGCCTTTGTCCTCACAGTCACAGAGATACTCACCAAACATAAAGCAGCTCAATGGAAAATGACTGCACCTTAAAAACTATGCATTTCCAACCAATTTTGTGACTTGATAAACCACAGCTTTCCTTTTCAATTCAAGCTAAGCTTTTTCCAGAAGAGCCTGTTTGTGTGTATTGTCTGGAAAAACATTTAAATGTCTTTTAAGAAAAGTAATTCTTAGAAAATGAAATAAAGTTTGATTTTTTTTCCACGACAGACAGTGAAACATTTTATTCAAATGCATCAGTTCATCCATTTCTGTGACATCCAGTGGAGCCATGCCAACTGGATGGATGTTATTTTTTTTAAACTGAGCTCAGACATGAGATTTGTTTTCCTGGTGTTGCATACCACAGCTGCAGGGGGAGCCCAAGAACAGATAACTGCCAGACTTCTAGATGTTTTTTTTTTTTCATCATTATGTAACAAATGAAAACTTTTTATCTGAGAGAAGTAAAACTTGATGAGCTGTTTCTTAATTATACCATAACTGTGGTGTAGTAGGATGATCGCTCTGCTTGGTACCAGGCTTAAGTGGGTTTTTGTATCGATTAAAGACACATTTATTTGCTTGTAAAAATGCAAGAATTTGCATTTTGCACTATTGGATTTTAAGAAGGTTCTAAGTAGAGCTTCACAACGTTAAAAGAAGAAATCAGTGCAAGAGACAAGAACTTTTGAGCAGGGAATTTTCTGAAAACTGCATTTACACTCAAACAGGATTTTTTTCAGCTGATCAAAAGTTTAAGACCGTAGTCTTTAAAAGCCAAAAGCTGTGCAAAAATCTGGATTCCATGTCATTTTCTGTCAAGTCTTTACACTGTCAAGACCTCCTTATGGCAAAAGTAAAAAATCTCACTGACTTTGAACGTGGTAAGATTGTTGAGCTGCATAAGCAAGGCCTCTCACAACGTGCCATCGCTGCTGAAGTTGGACGCAGTAAGACAGTCATTTTGCATTTTTTAAATGATCCTGAGGGTTTTTGAACAAAAAAGTTAAGTGGTAGACCCAAAAAAGTTTCACCATCTCTGAGCCACAGGATCCGATTGGCTGTCTGTCAAGACACGGGACGATCCTCTCCCCAAATTAAGGCCATTAATGGTGCTGACTGCAGCCCAGTAACCATCAGACAGCATCTGTGAGAGAAGGGCTTCAGAAACAAAAAAACGTCTTCAAAGGCCACGTCTTCTTCAACGCCACAAAATTGCCCGTTTGGACTTTGCAAGGGTGCACCAAACATGGGACATTGAAAGGTGGAAGAAAGTTGTCTTCTCTGATGAGAAAAAATTTAACCTTGATGGTCCTGATGGCTTCCAACGTTACTGACATGACAAGGAGATCCCACCTGAGATGTTTTCTACACGGCACAGTGGTGGGGGCGCCATCATGATTTGGGGTGCGTTTTCCTTCAACGGAACAATGGAGCTTCAGGTTGTGCAGGGGTGTCTAACAGCAGCTGGCTATGTGGAGATGTTGCAGCGGGCATCCCTCATGACTGAGGGTCCTCGTCTGTGTGGTAATGATTGGGTTTTTCAACAGGACAATGCTGCAGTTCACAATGCCCGCCTGACAAAGGAGTTCTTCCAAGAGAATAACATCACTCTTTTGGACCATCCTGCATGTTCCCCAGATCTAAACCCAACTGAGAACATTTGGGGATGGATGGCAAGGGAAGTTTACAAAAATGGACATCAGTTCCAGACAGTGGATGGCCTTCGTGAAGCCATCTTCAACACTTGGAGCAACGTTCCCACTAGCCTCCTGCAAACACTGGCATCAAGCATGCCTAAACCATTGTTTGAAGTCATCAACAAGAATGGTGGAGCTACTCATCAATGAGTCCTTTTGTTGACACTTTGATTTCTGTTTTGGGGGGTTTTCAGGTTTTTTTGAGCTATGGTCTTAAACTTTTGATCAGCTGAAAAAATCATGTTTGAGTGTAAATGCAGTTTTCAGAAAATTCCCTGCTCTAAAGTTCTTGTCTCTTGCACTGATTTCTTCTTTTAACATTGTGAAGCTCTACTTAGAACTTTCTTAAGATSCAATAGTGCAAAATGYAAATTCTTGCACTTTTTTGGCTGGTCTTAAGATTTTGATAGTTGATTTCATTTTATTACTTTCTCTTTCTTTCAGGTATGTTGGGGACATGTTGGCCTGGCTGCATCAAGCAACAGCCTCAGAGAAAGAGCATCTTGAAGCTCTGCTGAAACAAGTCATTCTGCAAGGTACAATACATGGTGTTCATCATCGGGTTCAGAGTAAAGAAAAAAGAATCTGCCTTTATAAGCAGGGATTGTTTCCTTATTTTACCCTAAGTTCTAAATATGGCACTATTATCAACTAACAAATGATTTTAAATCTGTTTTTACCACCATGGTCCGTTCAGTTTGTATATTTATTAGTTAGTAATTGATGTGGCTGTCCTCATATGATCCTGACCAGATTAGTGTGTACCCTTTCTTTTATTTCAGGCGTGGAAGAGAACATGCAAGACGTGGTGGGACACATCACAGAGGGAGTCTGCAGACCCCTGAAAGTGGGCAGCCAATTCATTTTTAAATCCCATTAAAGCCTGACCCGTTTACCGGTGATTGCGCGCCGTGTTCTTTCAAGTTCGCCTCATTGACTCACTTGTTGTCCGCCATCGATCTGCTCCTCAGGTGCGGATAGAACAAGTCATCGTGGCAGAGCCGGGCGCCGTTCTGCTTTACAAGCTGTCGAATCTGCTGAAGTTCTACCACCACACAATCAGGTACTTTAAGTGTGGCTTTGGACACAGACGCAGCAGAAACTTTTCTCTCTGACATGACGTGAAAACTAGGGCTGCAACAATACATGTATCTGTATCGAACTGTTCAGTACACACAATGTGTGGAACAATACAGGTTTTTACATTTATTTTATCAACTTGTTTGAAGATGCTCTGTGTTGAAGGATCAGTTAATCTGTGTTCGACCACTCTACCTAGGCTGTTTGTTGTCGAGTACAGATCCACTGAAAAAACTTGTTTCAGCAACATTTAATTTAAAAACTGTACTTTTGAGGTTAAACAAATGTTCACAATTAATTTCAAGTTAAGAAGAACTAAACATAAAGATAAATTTTTTTAGAAACTTTCTGCTGTTTAAATATTTTATAAATTATCACATCTTTTTTGGTTTGCCATCATAACTGAACAAGACAAATCATCCAAAGATGTAACCTAAAGATTTTAATGTGTGTGATGATTTATTTTATTTTATTTTATTTTAGTTTATTTTTGGGGTTTGTGTGTAGTTATAT